CAGGTGCAATGTTATTGAGCTATAAACTACTTATCTTCTCCATTTTAATTTACTTTTTTTATTATTACATTTAGACCTGAATTTTTTGTCATGCTTTTATCATGTATAAAGGTTTCCTCTTGATTGTTTGTGTGTGTGTGTGTGTGTGTGTGTGTGTGTGTGAAACTGGTCAAGGATATTGGTTCATGGCATGACAACACTTTGCCGTCTAGAACATTGTAACAGTTTCAGATTTCCAAAATTATATCTGTAATTCTAGAGAATTAAACACGTATATATGTATAACACAAGAAACTTACTATTCCATGACTTGAATAATTATAAACATTTCCATAAGAATACTGTTTACAAGAAAGGGACCCCTACTATGATTAAAGTAGCTTACAAGTTAGTATGAATAACAGATAATTTAAAGATCCTTACATGTAAGTTAGACATCCCAGAAACCAACTTGTGACAGCTCCTTGAAACTGCAATTTTAGAGATAAAGCTTTTGTGTTTATTTGTGTGTTTGTTTGAGACAGGGTTTCTCTGGGTAGTCTTGGCTGGTGAAACTCACTCTGTAGACCAGGTTGGCCTTGAACTCAAGATCTTCATGCTTCTGCCTCCTGAGTACTGGCATTGAAGGTTTGCATCACCACTGTCCAGCTAGCATGTTGATTTTCCCTTACAACAGTTTCCTTTACTGTAAAATTACAGGGCAAGTTTACTCCCAGCTATAGGGAGCTGGGAGTGGAGGCTCTTTAAACCAAGCAAAGGCAGATAGATCTCCCAAATTCAAGGCCAGTCTGGTCTACATAGAGAGCTACAGGTGAGTCAGAACTACATAGAAAAAGCCAAAAACAAATCACAAACCCTTCAAAACCAAAACTACCATTAAAAAACTTTTACTGGGAACTGGAAAGATGGCTCAGCAGTTAAGAGCACTGACTGTTCTTCCAAAGGTCCTGAGTTCAATTCCCAGCAACCACATAGGGTGGCTCACAACCATCTGTAATGGGGATCCAGTGTCCTCTTCTGTTGTGTCTGAAAACAGCTACAGTGTACTCACATACATGAAATAAATAAATCCTAACCCCCCCCCCAAATGAAAAAGCTTTAAAGTACTGAAGAATTGTGACCCAAATCCCATTCTATCAGAGTCTGCTTTCCTGATCACAATTGTCCTTCTTATATGTAACATGTACTTTTAGCTTATTTCAGTGACTTGAAAGCTTGTGTATTGATGTACTCAGTCTTGAGCCAGGATTTGTGATATACATCGTAACTTCCAGTTGTGACTTCTCTTGATACTGAAGACTGAATTCAGAAGAGACCACCAATATATGTCCCTCACAAAGCTGACAGAGATTGTTAAAACAAATGGAAGTACCACGATAAAAGATTTCAGGAAAGGGAAGAAAGAAGCACATAGCAGCAGTTGATGGCAGTTCTGAAAACTAAATAGTCCCTGCTCCAGTCTACCTCCAGAGAATTAATATTGCAATGGTTATATTCCCTTTCTTCTCCCACCAACCTAGGTCACTCTTTATTTCTTTTGGCTCTATGCTCTTGAAAATTTTTATTTTTGTATAATTTTTCTTTTTTAAAATCTTAAGAGTATCAGAGTTTGTTGTTTATTGTGACAAGACAGTGTGGTCAGCTTTCTATATTTGAAAGTCAGTCAAGAAGAAGGATGCTCTACTAGTTCTGCTACTTGCTCTCTCTTGTTACTTGCATTGTTCAGTAACTCCAGTGTATACTCCATATTGGTGTTAAGGGTACCACTTGCTGCTGGACGGTGGTGGTGCACAACTTTAGTCCCAGCACTCAGGAGGCAGAGGCAGGCGGATTTCTGAGTTCGAGGCCAGCCTGGTCTACAAAGTGAGTTCCAGGACAGCCAGGGCTACACAGAGAAACCCTGTCTCGAAAAACCAAAAGAAAAAAAAAAGAAAAGGCTACCACTTGCTCCTTATTTTGATAGTAGAGACTGAATGTTCCTCGTTGCTTTAGATATTGGAGCTAAGACATGTATGTCATATAATCACTTTGATTCATAGGTCAGTATAATTTATAATGGTAGTTCTTTGTTCTCTAGATCTCCTGCTGCTGTTTGCAGTATGTTTGTCACTGTTAGACTGTATTATGCAGTCACTGAGTAAGTTTTGTATGAGTACATTGAGATTCAGATATTAGGCTACTTTTAATTTCAGAAAAATGATTCTTGTTGATATTCAGTAGTTGCCATGTTTTTATTTTATTGGTATGTCAATTTTTAAATTGTATTTTTTTTAAATTTTATTATTTTTTTTACATAGGGACTCACTTTGTAACCCTGTCTTTCCTGGAACTCAGTATTAGACCAAGCTGGCCTCAAACAATAAAGTCCTCTAGCCTTTGGCTCCTGAATGCTGGGATTTAAGTCTGGGGACATGGAATTGGCTCTAGCACTACTGGAATTACATTTGTGTGTTGTGATGGTAAATGTATAAATAAAGGAGGTAAATGCTTTAGTGTTTCAGCACGCTGAACTTAATCACAAGAGCGACTAAGAGGTAATAGTCTGCTCTGTTCGAACGTCTGGTAAAGAGAACTCCAGGTAATTAATACCTTTACTGTTTTATACCAAGGAGAAATAATGCAATTACTACTGTTTCTGATGTAGGGATCTTTCTTTTTACGGCTTTTCGTGCAGTTCATCTACAGATTCTTCTAGGCTGAATGACATGATTATTTTGTGTATTAACTTTTTATAGCCTAAACTTGACAGATCCTGACTGAACCCATTATTTTCTTTTTTTTTTTAACCTATTAAATCTCCACCCCATCCCCATGCATGGCTTACAGCCAGTGTGGTGTAGTAGAATGAGGACCTATTGGATTCATGTATCCCTGCAGCACTAACAGTTTCTAGATTATGATTTTGGGCAAGTTACATATCCTTTCGTAATCTGTAAAATTAGGAAAACTAAACACATTCTGGATAGCTGTAAGGTATAAATAAGACAATAGGTTAGAAACGCCTGCTGTTCCAAGTAATAACAGATACTTCTTAAATGAAACAGTACCTTTTCTTATTTATAATTGTTGGGTTTCCTAGGAGAAATCTATACTTGATAAGCACTTGGTAGTACTGACCTTTAGAGTCTCGGGTGAGGGCTTAGAATGTAGATCAGTACTCCAAGTGTCGGTATAGAATTTGAACCAGATACTAGAGAGCTGCTAAATAAAATATGAAGAGAAATGCATTAAAGTTTTATAGTGTTGTGTGACTGCTTTATATCTCACTTTTACCAAGAAGTAATCTTCTGCTTTTTATAAAGAATCTAATGAGAACCCCAGTTAATTATATTTTTGGAGTTTTATCCCTAATGGATAAATGAGTGAATGAATAGATAAATGACCTCATTTCAAACATAAGAAAACAAGTAGTATCTTAGAATATTCCTCATAGGTGCTATTCAGTCTCTAAAATAGTTTTTCTGTTTTTTTCTTGTGAAATTACAGATAGTGGTAATTTATAAACTAATTTTGAAACAGTACAGTAGTAGAACACAAATCCCCAAAGGTCAGCAATTGCTGTGTGTTCTGGGAACATTCTTTAAGATTCTAGATTCTAGGCTGGGTGGTGGTGGCGCATGTCTTTAATCCCAGCACTTGGGAGGCAGAGGCAGGCGGATTTCTGAGTTCGAGGCCAGCCTGGTCTACAGAGTGAGTTCCAGGATAGCCAGGGCTACACAGAGAAACCCTGTCTCGAAAAACAAAACAAAACAAAACAAAAAGATTCTAGATTCTAGTGTAATGCTTTATTTTAGGGAAACAATTTGCTAGTGATCCCTTTGTCCTAGATCAGTGCTTAAGTGGCGATGTTTTATGATTAAGTATCTAAACTCCTAAATTATGTGTTGAAATTTGACTGCCTCAAACAAGTGTTGAACCAGGTGGTGGTGGCACACTCCCTTAATCCCATCATTCAAGAGGCAGAGGCAGGAAGATCTCTGTGAGTGTAAGACCAGCCTGGTCTGCAGAGTGAGTTCCAGACAGCCAGCACAGAGAAACCCTGTCTCAAAAAAACAAAAAGAGAAAAAGTGTTGAGGAGACAAAAGTGGGAAAAATGCTAAGATTGCAGATGTGGTCCTGTGAATGGCTGTTGTTTCCACATTAGGTAGTTATGTAGGTGTAGAAACATTGCTTTTTCTGATAAGTAAACTTAATATGTGATGATCTTTTCATTTCAGAAAGACCCAGATTACCTGAGATTGTGGTTGGACAATTTTGTTTTAAGTTATGAACAATTTTTAGATGTTGACTTTGAAAAGCTGCCTACGAGGTATGTAGAAACACTCATTTATCACCAGGGGGCGAAATTGTTAATTTTTGGCAGAAGGATTTTATTACAAGTACAGCAGCATTGCTAACAGTCTCTATACTCCTGCATGAGCATGTTCTCGTGACAAATACCGATCTGTGATCACCGCTGTCTTATACTATACACCGCTGGGCAATACTATACTTGGCTCTTCTGTACTCTGGTGAGCTACTACCCTCTTGGTGGTCTGAAATTCACGTAGTTTCTGACACTAGCTACTCAGCTTAGTACAGGAGCTTACAAGTGGAAGGCAGAGTCCTCCACAAGATTGCTTTTACTTCAGTCATCCACACTTACCATTTCTTATTGCATTCATTCATTCATTCATTCATTCATTCATTCATTCATTCGTTTATTTGTTTATATGCCTTAAGTTTCAATACTTTGTTTCCTTGCTCATGTCTTACAGGGTAGATGATATGCCTCCAGGAATATCTCTGCTTCCTGATAATATTCTGCAGGTTCTTAGGATCCAGCTGCTACACTGTGTTCAGAAATCAGCAGATGGGTTAGAGGAACAACAACAAGCTTTGTCCATTTTGCTTGTCAAATTCTTCATTATTCTTTGCAGGTATCATATAAAAAAGTAAAATTTTAGTATAATTATTACCAAAATAATAACAATAATGATAATAGTAATAATCTGCTACCGATATTTGCCTGAATTTTTAAAGAATGTGTATATCTTTTATAGCATTGGTTAGCACACTGGAAAACTTCTTAATTATTGTACACTAATCATAGAGACACTCAGCCAAGAATTTTAAATGTGTGCTGTCAAGATGGCTCAGTGGGAAAGGCACCTGCTGCCTAACCTGATGACCTGAGTTGGGTCTTCTGGACCCATATGGTGGAAGGAGAATCAGCTCCCTACAGTTTTGTCTTTTATGGCACAGAAGGGCCAGTACAATGTACATGTATACACAAAAATACATTTTGAGAAGTATAATAAAATCATTGTTTAAAAAAAGAATAAACTTAAGGTAACTTTAAAGACCATGGTAGAAGTTTTTATTTCAGTAAGATATGATTATAGTAATATTTTCTGTATGGTTTTCATTTGTAAATATGTATACTTGTGTGTATGCAAGCTTGCATACACATAACCTTTGTTTTTTTTTAATTAAAGTAGTCTCACAATATAGTCCATCTGGCCTGGAATATACAGGGTAGACTAAACTAGTTGTGAACTTAACAGAAATCTACCTTCTCTGCCTTAAGAGTGCTGGGATTAAACGTGAAGGAGATGGTGAGACATCACCTTGCCTCACTTCCACCTTATTATTTGAGAGTTTCTTAGTAGCCTTGCTGACTAGACAATGCTGGCTGACAGACAGGAAAGCATGGGTGTAAGCTTCTTGGGAAGTGTTGTAGAAACTGAGACATACCTAAGTGTCTTTTCATTACTGAATACTATTTCACAGGAAGGTACTGCAGTTTGCTTCACTATTCATCTATATTGAAGGATATCCTAGTATTTACTTCCAGTTTGGGGCTGTTGTTTATAAAACTGCTATAAATATTCATGTCCAGGTTTTATATGGGTATTTTTCAGCCCATGTAGAAAATACCTAGGAACAGTAATGCTATGCTATATCACATGGTTGTAACAATTTCACAATCAGTGAATGAGGAACGTTTTTCCAGTATTCTATATATCATTCTTTTAGATTTTGGCTGTTGCAGTAGGTGTGTAGTATGTAGTGTTTCATTGTTTTTCCTTAATGATAAAAAATATTTAACCTCTTTTTATTTTTGAGACTGCCATAATGTTCTGGTGAAGTTTTTCCCAATTTTTTTATTGCAAAAATTATTTTACTTATTTACATTACAGCTGTTCCCCCCCATCCTCCTAGTCCTTCCTCCCACAGTTCCTCATCCCATTCCCCCTCCCCTTGCTCCCCCCAGGTATGCCCCTTCCCTGGGGCCTTAAGTTTCTCTGGAATATATGTGTCGGGGACCTTGGACCAGCCTCTGGGAGCTCCTAGGAGTCTGGGTTAGTTGAGACTGCTGATCTTCCCTCCCTTTCAGCTTCTTCATTCCTTCCCCTAATTCAACCACAGGGGTCCCTGACTTCAGCAGTCAGCTGCTGCTACGGCCTCTCAGAGGACAGTCATGGTAGGCTCCTTACTGTAAGCACACCATAGCATCAGTAATAGTGTCAGGCCTTGGTGCCTTACCCATAAGATGGATCCCAAGTTGGGTTAGTCATTGGACTGCCTTCCCTTCAGTCTCTTCTCCATTTTTGTCTCTGTAGTTCATTTAGACAGGAACAATTCTGGGTCAGAAATCTTGACTGTGGGTTGGTAACCTTGTCCCTCCACTTGAAGCCCTGCCTATCTATTGGAGGTTGGCTCTTTGGGTTCCCTCTCCCATTGTTGGGCATTTTGGCTAAGGTCACCTCCATTGAGTCCTGAGAGTCTCTCACCTCTCAAAGTTTTGCCCAATTTTAAAATTGGACTATACACTGGGCGGTGGTGGTGCACGCCTTTAATCCCAGCACTTGGAAGGCAGAGGCAGGTGGATTTCTGAGTTCGCTCCAGCCTGGTTTACAGAGTGAGTTCCAGGACAGCCAGGGCTACACAGAGAAACCCTGTCTCCAAAAACCAATAAATAAATAAATAAATAAATAAATAAATAAATAGGATTGTGTTCTTATTTTTACAGGTCTGTAAATGTTTTGATCCACAGGTTTTTTTCAGTGGATTGGCACACTTTGTTGTTTTGTTTTTGTTTTTCAAGACAGGATTTCTCTGTGTATCTTTGGCTGTCCTGGAATTTACTGTGTAGACTAGGCTGGCCTTGAATTCAGAGATCCACATGCCTCTACCTCCTGAGTACAAGTTTTAAGGGCATGGACCACCATAGCAAGCCAGTCTTTTTATTCTTTTAACACTGTGTTTTGAGGCATAGAAATTTTTAATTTTGATGAGTCTCTTTTTTCCCCATTGAATTATGCCTTTAGTTTTCCATCTGTAAAGTCACCAGTCAACCTAAGAGCCCTTAGATTTTTTTCCTGTATTCTCTAACAATATTGTTGTCTTTCCAGGCTGGAGAGATGGCTCAGTGGGTGTGCCTGCTCTTTTAGAGTACCTAGGTTAATTTCATAGGACCTAAATGGCAGCTTACAACCATCTATAACTCCAGTTGCAGGGTTGTGATGCCTTCCTTCTTCTGGCCTTTGAGGGCTCTGGACATGCTAGTGATACTAAGATGTACATGCAGGCAAAATAGTCATACATACATACAAAAAAACAAACCCAAAACCAAAACCACAATAGTACTGTAATTCATTTCACTTTTCTTTAAGCTATAGTAAGATAATATATGTTTGGTATATTGAATAAACACTATGTTAGATCTGTTAAGAATAAGAAAGATTTCATTTTTGCCTATAATTATTTCCTTTTAAATTCTCTTTCTTTTTGTGGCCTCTAATGACTCCTAGGGATTTTTAGTTCAAGCCTGGTGGTTGTAGGAAGACCCTTTCAGGTGGATCTCTTGAGTTCAAGGCCAGCCTAATATATAGAAGGAATTCTAGGACAGAGAATTCATGTCTTTTTGGTTTTTCGAGACAGGGTTTCTCTGTGTAGCCCTGGCTGTCCTGGAACTCACTCTGTAGACCAGGCTGGCCTCGAACTCAGAAATCCGCCTGTTTCTGCCTCCCAAGTGCTGGGTTAAAGGCATGTGCCACCATTGCCCGTTGAGAATTCATGTCTTGAAAAACCAAAAAAAAAAAAAAATTTTTTTTTTAGTTTATTTAGTTTTTTTGTTTTTGTTTTTCTAATTATGACCATGAAAGTGACAACTCTGAAAATTTCAATGTTGGATCAGAAACTGAAAGTCCTCCTTTATTTGTATCCAAATTTAAGAGGTTTTTTTTCTTTTCTTTTTTCTTTTTCCTGTTTGGAGGAGTGAAAGGCAGAGGGAAGGAAGGAAATGAATTAAAAGAGGGTAGTAATGAGTGATAGAGAACGCATGAGAATGAGATTTGGCAGGAACATAGGTGGGACTGGAGTCCGCTACAGTACCCAAACTGGTAGTTTTCATAGTTGGTGGTTTTTCCAAGTGATGGTTACATTTTATTAATGTGTCGGTGTTTTGAAGCCTTAATACAAGCTATCATGCACTCCATCTGTGCCTCAGAGACAAGGTTTTAAAGGCTACTGGAGTTACAGATAGGCTGTATGACTGTAATGATATCAAATAACAGCTCAATAAAAATTCATCTATAGGTCTTTTTTGCTTGGATCTATTTCTTTTCCCAGTACTAATATAACTTATAAATGTAATTTAAAATTATTTATAAATTTTAATATGTCACTGTTAATGCATGTCATGCAGTTACTCACTATATCATTTTTTTTAATAAAACAAAATTGTACTTTTACTATAGTTTCAGAACTTATTCATCAGTTTGTGAGGACATTTGTTTTGATTACAGCATATTTGGTATGTGTGTGCTAGAGGACAATTTGGAGGAGTTGGTTCTCTGTTGTATCCCAGGGCTTTAATTCAGCTTGGTCTGGCTTGCTGGCAGATAGATGCCTTTACCCATTGTGCCATCTTGCCAGCCCCAAGGATGTTGAATTTTTAATCTCTTGAGAAATGGCCAGACTGTTTTCTAGAGTATTGTAATTTAAATTCCCGCCTGCTTGAAGGCTTGAATTTTTTAACATCCTTACCAGTGCTTACTCCATTTTCTATTTTTGTATTACAAAAGTAAACAGGTGAAAATGAAAGTTTTCATGCCTGATGTTGCTGAACATTTTTCATGTGCTTATTAGGTATAATAAATACGTTGTTAACTATATACAGACTTAAAAATTTAAATTATGTGTATGTGTGTATGTATATATGAGAGGTACTTGCAGAGGCCAGAGGAGGATGTCAGATCACCTGAAGCCAGAGTTACAGGTGGTGGAGAGCTAGCTGATGTGGGTACTGGGAACTAAACTCAGATTCTCTGAGAGAGCAGTATGTGTTCATAACCACTGAGCCAGATGTCCCTACACAGAGAATTTGAAGTGTTCTTGTATTAGAGGAAGGGATAAACAGCTAAGATGTCATGCTAATTTAATTTCTTGAGTAGCAAAGTCTGTTATTTTTTCCTGTTCTATTTCAAGATACAAAGTATTTTATAGGTCAGTGTCTCAAAACAGAATACCAATAAACTTAACTTTTAACAGTAAAGCCAAGAGATATTTAAGTGTCATAAATTACCATAGTATATGTCCCAGCTCAAGTACTTATGGACTTCTACTTTAAACAGGATGTAATAGTATGTCCTCTTAGAATATTTAAAGATGATAATGCATGCCCTTTGTGTCATGGACTTCTGATGCAGATTACAAAATATGTGAGTCAGAAAAAGGGAACTAAAATTCAGAGAGCAGAGTGAAACAATAATGGTACATGTCTCTTATAATGGCAGTACTCTATGCATCATTTCCTGCTTTAGTGTGATTGATATTGCCAGCATCTGTTCTCCAAACCATGCTGGATACACTAGAGTATATGGCGCATATGTAATAAATGTTATTCTTTTTATCTCCTAGGAATTTATCAAATGTAGAAGAAATTGGGACTTGCTCTTACATTAATCATGTCATTACCATGACAACACTGTATATTCAGCAAGTAGGTGTGAATACATTCCTCTTTGTTGTTTTACTGAGACTAACATGGATTTACTTTTTTAAAAGATTTTAATATTGTAATTAATCTTGCTAAGTGTTTTCAAAGAAGGTAGTAATTGAAAAGACAATTGAGCCTGGCGGTGGTGGTGCACACCTTTAGTCCCTGCACTTGGGAGGCAGAGACAGGCAGATTTCTGAGTTTGAGGACAGCCTGGTCTGCAGAGTGAGTTCCAGGACAGCCAGGGCTACACAGAGAAACCCTGTCTCGAAAAACAACAAAAACCAACAACAACAACAACAACAAAAACAAAGACAATTGAAATTGACAATAGGGCAATAGGTCATTTTATAAATCTTATATTTTCTTTTTTTTTAATTATTTATTTATTTTAAGTTCATATACATTGGAGTTTTGTCTGTATGAGGATATTGGCTACCTTAGACCTGGAGTTATAGACAGTTGTGAACTGATATGTGGGTGCTGAAAATTGAACCCTGGTCCTCTGGAAGAACAGCCAGTGGCTTAATCACTGAGCCGTTGCTCCAGTCTCAAATCTTCAATTTTCTAAAAGTAGACAAGTAGCTATTAATGCATTATTTTAACATTTTTTGTAGTTTTTAAAATGACACAATGTTTCATTTTGTGTATGAATCATTTTATGTATCATATCTTACTGAAAAGCATAATTTCCAAAGATGTTTGGCTAATTTAAACTTGCTCTAGGAAGAACTTTACAATTTTTTTTTTTTTTTTTTTGAGACAGGGTTTCTTTGTGTAGTTCTGGCTGTCCTGGAACTCACTCTGTAGACCAGGCTGGCCTTGAACTCAGAAATCCGCCTGTCTCTGCCTCCCAAGTGCTGGGATTAAAGGCATATGCCACCACCGCCTGGCTAGAACTTAACAATTTAGAAAATATATATAGCTCATATGATTAAATGACTCTTAAGGACTCAAAGGGGAAGTTAGGTTTATGTTAATAAAAATGACTTAATGTAAGCAGATTAATGAAACATGTCTTTAATTTTATGTTTAATTTTATTCTCAGTTAAAAAGCAAAAAAAAGGAGAAGGAAATGGCTGATCAGACATCTATTGAAGAATTTGTGATCCATGCACTGGCATTCTGTGAAAGCTTGTATGATCCGTATAGAAATTGGAGACATAGAATTTCCGGGTATGTCTTATAAATGATAATACTGAGATTGAGTCTTACTATGTAGCCTTGGCTGGTTTGGAACTTGATATATAGATAAGGTTGGAGAGAACCAGCAACCTCTGGACTGTTGAGATTATAGGCATTCACCATCAGATTGGTCATAATGTTTAAACTGAGTGTTGGTCTGAGAAGATGGCTCAGTGGGCTCTTCTTTTTTTTTGGTTTTTCGAGACAGGGTTTCTCTGTGTAGCCCTGGCTGTCCTGGAACTCACTCTGTAGACCAGGCTGGCCTCGAACTCAGAAATCCGCCTGCCTCTGCCTCCCAAGTGCTGCGATTTAAGGCATGCGCCACCACCACCCGGCTCAGTGGGCTCTTCTTGAGTACAGCACTTACCACATATGCATGAGGACCTGTGTTTAGATCCCTGGAACTTATTTAAAAGCTAGATATGAGATTAGAAATGTCTATAATCATAGTGTCCTTATGTAGAAATGAAAAGTGGAGACAGAAAGACCTGGGAGATTAGAGACGAGCTAATCTGGCATATACAGTAGAAAACCAACAGAGATCCTATCTCAAACAAAATTCAAAAGCCAAGATAGATGCCCGAGTTTGTCCTTTGACCTTTATGCACACTGTATGTGCCTTCATTCACACATGCTTGACATACCCATCATACATACATTATACATTAACAAAACAGAACCTTGCATGTTATAAATTTGTGGGTTTTTAGAGTCTTCTGTATGTGACTCTTGAAAGAGTATTATTGCTAGACCCTCAACCTAGAACTGACCTTAATACATACATGTAATCAAAATGTATAAAAGGATAAAAGAGGAGGGGAGATGGGATAGGGGTTCTAGGGAGCAGAAATGGGGAAAGAGAATGACATTTGTATTGAAAATAAATAAAATATCCAAAAAAACCCCTCAAAACAAAGAGTATCTTTCTATATGAAAGTGATATGGAAGGATGCACAGAAGAGCTACATATGGAGTGTTGGGGAGATGACTCAGTAAAATGCTAGTTATGCAAGCGTAAGAACTTTGGTTTGGTCTCCAGAATCCACATAAAAAGGTTAGGCTCAGCAGAGTGTGGGAACAGGTTAATCCCTGGAGATTGGTAGCCACTGTAGCTTACTCAGTGTCTTTCTCAAACACTACCCTACTTTAATTTGTTTTTTTGAGGCAGAGTCTTACTTTATATCCTTTTCTGGTTTGGAGCTGCTTTGTAGACATTGAACTCACAGAGATCAAGAGGCATGCACCATCTTATTTTATGAGACAGGTTCTTACTGTCTGACCAGCAAGCTCTAGGGATGATCTTCATGTGCCCTCCTTTCCATGCTAGGGTTACAGGCACAGTACGGCAGTTTACTTTTGTGTATGAGTCTGGGTGCACATATGCAGGTTATAGAACAACTTGTTTCTCCCCACTGTGTGTGTGTGTGGTGATTGAACTCAGATCCTTCTTCTTGCACAGCAAGTACATTATCTGCTGAGCCATCTCTCCAGCCTCTGTATTTGTACTTTGTATAGCTATTGTTACATGATGTTGAAGAGTTTGTAACAGAGAACATTTATACAGACTGTGAGAGCTCACCTCATATATTCCATATGGTGTATTTTATTAACAATATATCCTGGCACTTGAGAGGGTAGAGGCAGGAAGATCAGAAGTTCAAGCTCATTTTTAGCTACATAGTTGAGGCCACCCTGTCCCGAATGCTGCAGTTAAAGGCATTTGCTCCCATTGCCTGGCTGGAACAGGTGTATTTGGACTCAAACTATACCCAGTTGAGTTTGGGTATAAGTTTGAGGGTATAGCTCATCTTGGCAAGGAAACCATGATGGAGGAGCTTGAGGTAGATGGTCACACTGGGTCTGCAGTCAGGAAATGGATAAAATTCTGGTGTTCGGCTCACTCTCTCCCTTTTCTTCAATCTGACAGTTAAGGTAGGTTTTTCATCTGAACCTAATCTAGAAAACCTCTTACAAGCTTGCCAAGAGATTTGTCTTCAGGGTAATTTTATATCTTGCCAAATTCCCAATCACTGTAAACCTTCAACAACATGTACTCCACTTATTTAACAGAAGAACCCTGTCCTTATTCTTTTTATGTGTATGGGGGCTTTACTTGCACAGATATCTATGTACCACATGCAGTGCTTTCAGAGGCCAGAGGAGGGCATTGGATCTCCTGAACTGGAGTTGTAGACAGTTGTGAGCCATGATTTGGGTGCTGGGAATTGAGCATCGGTCCTTTGGGAGAGCAGCATATATTACTTATTGCTAAGGCATCACTTTAGCCCCTTCATTTTTTTTTAACTTTGTATTTTGAAAAAGTTGATTATATAAGTTAAAATTCTCCAGAGAAACAGCATCAATGGACATTTAAGATATATGTCTATAGGAATTTGAATTTTTTTTTTTAAACAGGCTCTGTCTAGTTTTGTCAAAGAAAACCTTTTCTGGTTTACTTCTCACCAGTCTGTTCTGGCATGCTTCTAATGATATCAGAATCACCTGGGTCAATCAGGGCCAGTATGTATACTCAGTATTCTATGAAAGTTTCTTCATGCTTTACTCAATTCAGTATTACTGCCACTATAGTGATGGACACCAGTTTTGGCTAACATGCATGCTATTGTATTTTAGAGTTCCTCAAAGCTGGGTTGTTGGTGAGGATAACTAGTTTTGTTTTGTCCTGACCATCTTTATTAGTGTCTGTTCATATTTCAGTATGCACTTTCCACTTTTCATGACAAGTTGGATGTAGAATTGGCTGACTCCTGAGACTTTTTCATCTTTGGGGCTCCCATCTTCCTGCCTTAAGTGTGGGACAGACAGCCCTCTAACAAAGAGCAGCCACCAAAATGGCCAGAGAGCAAGAAACATTGAATTGTCATAAAGCACTAGTCCTCATAGCAGGGAACCCTGCAAGTCCAAGTCTGATCTGTGGACGAGCAGTTCTGAGATAGATCTAAGTGAACCTGTGACAGGCAGATGCTTGGGAAAGTCGGAACTGCAGGTGAAACCCCAAGACAGAGGAGTTTCTGATGCTAAGGGGTTTGTTTGTTTGTTTGTTTTTGTCTTCTGTCACTCATGAAGAAAATACGCTTTACTCAGTAAGAGTTCACAAATTTACCAATTAATCTCATCTAAAAACATCTTCCAGGTTAATAAAATTAATCACATTGTGTCAAGATATTTTGTCTAAATAGTAGTGGGAAGGTCCTAAGTAGGTCCTATGCCTGTCTATTGAACTTTAGTATCTCTCTTTTTCTAGGGTAACTTCTTTCAGTTTTCCTGCCATAAGGATTTTTGCATTGCTCAACATAGACTGCATTATCTGTAGTACCAAATAAAGGCCTTAGAATAACGAAGGTGTACTTCTTGTTCATGCCATCTGTCTTATTTTTAAGGAAAAAAATTTAAGAGTTATTTTTATCATGTGTGAGTATGTATGCTCTCAGTAATAAGAAGCTTTGGGTCTTCTGGATCTAGAGTCCCAGTGGTTGTGAGCATACAGACATAGTTACATGGTTATTGGGAATTGAACTCAGGAATAGTATTATATGTTTTTAATTGCTGCAACATCTCTTCATACCTTTCCCTGTTTCTAAAAATAATCTTTCCATTTGTCTTGTGTGTAGACACCCATATTAATCCTAGTCAGTCAAGTACACAGGACAGCCAACATCTCATGTTGTTAGTTAGCATGAGAAAGTGGAAAGAAAATGGTGAAACTCTTACATTGGCAATTTAAACTTAAATTCTGGCTTGTTTTTAAATTCCTAAATTTTTGGAGACTTAACTTGGGAAACACAACATATAATAAATATTCTGGGGCTGGAGAGATGGCTCAGAGATTAAGAACTGACTACTCTTCCAGAGGACCAGAGTTTAATTCCCAGTCAACAACATGGTGGCTCACAACCATCTGTAAAGAAATTTAGTGCCATCTTCTGGCCTGCAGGCATACGTGCAGACATAACACTGTGTACATAATAAAAAAAAATAAAAAAACAACAACAAAAAAAAACGATTTATGAGATCGAAAATAAAGGGACTTATTAAAAAACTTTCTCCAGTTGGTAAGTGCTTAAGTTACTGTTTTATCTTTTTTTTTTTTTTTTTTTTTTTTCGAGACTGGGTTTCTCTGTGTAGCCCTGGCTGTCCTGGAACTCACTCTGTAGACCAGGCTGGCCTCGAACTCAGAAATCCACCTGCCTCTGCCTCCCAAGTGCTGGGATTAAAGGCGTGTGCCACCACTGCCTGGCTGTTTTATCTCATTTTTGAACATTGCACTAGTCCTGAAGATGTTTTTGTTCAGCATATAAACCAAAATCAAAATGTTGAATTTGTTTATAATTGTTTTTTAAATTCTGCAGTCTCTACTTGCTCATGTAATTTGTTACTGACTTCTTTTCTAATGATAGACAGATCCTTAGTTCTGTGGAAAAGAGCAGACAGAAGTACAAACCAGCGTCTCTCACAGTGGAGTTTGTTCCTTTCTTTTATCGTAAGTACTATTCTAATTCACTGTACTTTGATTTTAATCAACTCTGATTAGTGGTTTTTTTTTTTAATCCTTACTGATTCTGACCTTAATTTAGTGTATGAGTTTAGTTTATAAGACAAAGGCTGCTAAAGAACAAAAATTTATGTTTGATTGGTATTATGGTTCTCAGTTTGATTAATTTTTTCCATGTTTTTCTATTTAACAGCTAGTCTGTTGTTTTGGTGAGCTGAGCGTTTTAAAGAGTGTATATTTTAGAACTTCACAATTTTTACTAAGAACAGAAAACTGGGCTAGAGATACCCTAAGAACACATATTTAGCATGCATAAAAAACTTGCCATTTTATCATTAGAACCAGAAAACAAACCAGTTCGCACCCAAACCATTAAGAGACTTGACTACTTACTGTATATGTGCATGGCTGTATATGTTATGGTTTCTCCATCACTTTTGTTTTTATACTGAGCAAGGTTTCACATCTCCTAGCCTGACCTCAGACTTGCTGTAGCTGAGGATGACTTGAACTTCTGATTCTCTGATCTTTTCCTGAGTGCTTGCACTACAGGCATATGCTACTACCTCTGACTGGATTTTACTCTTGGAAAAAGATTGTGCTGGCTAAAAAGGTAGTTCAGTTGGTAGAATGCTTGCCTATCATATACTAGATTCATTTCCCATAACTACAGTAATAGGGCATGGTGGGACATGCCTATGATCCAAGCACTAGAGACGTAGCGGCAGGAGGATCAGGTCGCCTTTGGCGTTACAGCAAGTTTGAGGCCCACCTGGGATACACGGGATCTTGTCTTTTTTTTTTTTATAATTTATTTTTTCTCAAATCATTATTAATTCACACAGGGGTTATAAACACCAAAAGGCAGGAAGTGGGGAAGGGAATGACAATGGAGTGTGGGTATTCGGGGGAATACGGATATCATTAGAACCGGGTATCGGCTGGGTGAAGGTTCAGGGGACAAGTCACTATGACTCTGCCTATGACTCACTTGTCCTTATCTAAGTTGGTATTGTCTGACAAGGCTACCTATTTACAAGGTCTATGACTACTCAGGCTTGTAAATTTCCACAAAAACTGCCTGTTTACATTAGCTTATAGCCATCTGTTTCAATGTTTTTCCACTGAGACCCAAGACTTGGTGTTAGTATACATGTATGACAGGCCTATTGCTAATTTTAGGCCTATGGCTGATTTTAGGTCTTCAGTGTGTAAGCAGGGCTGCCCCTGACATCTCTTCCCTTCTCTAAGTATAGAAGGGCTGTGGCAATTCTAAACTTGCGAAGGCGGGGATAGAGGCCTGACCTCCAGTATTTGAAGGGGACCTTGTAATGGCTCTGGTCCCCCTGTCGTTGTCCAGTGAGGCATGAGGACCATACTCGTCCCGATGTCTTTTTCCTGGAGAGGGGGTACGTTTGACATCAACCCCTATGCAGTCAGGCTTGTCCCTCAGGGAACCCGATAGATATTTTTATCTTTTATTTATATTCCCTTGCAGTGCTTAGCCTCGCAGCCTAAGCAAGAATTCAGATCGCCTGTCAGAGGGGGTTCTGGGTGGCCCCTCTCTGCTTGGTCTAGGGGCGGAAGTCCCCCCTTTTAGGTTGGGTGGAGATGGGTTTTGGAAACACCCTGTATAAAGTAACAACCTCATCTTGAGTCTCGTGGTCCTCCATAGCTAACTTATGATAATGTATCTGAGTAGGTTTTGCTACCAAATTATTTATCTGTTGTATCACAGAGTTAGTCTGCCTATTTGAGGGCCAGGGACCAGCAGAAAAAAGCAAAAAGAACCCAAATAATGGTCCCAAGATGGGAGGAAATAGAGTTGACAACCTTGGAGAGGCTGAAAACCAATTCTTGTACCAGCATTCATCTGTCTCTTTCTCTCTCTGATTTTTCTTAGGGCCTTCACTACCTATTTCATGCTCTCTTTAGCCCTCCTTGTCTTGTCTATGTAAAGGCAACCTTCTTCTTTAAGGGCTGTACACAGTCAAGAGCTGTACACAGCCTTTTCTATTGTAATAGAGTAAATCAAGTCCAATAAGGATCTTTGCGATTTTTGGAGATCTCTTCAGACAGCGAAACGAGGGATTTCTTCAGATTAGTGATGTCAATCTCTAGCTGTTTGATGTTCTTGTCAGTGGCCCTTCAAAGGTCTGAGTAGTGTAAGTTCAGAGGCCAGCATCTGGATTAGAACTTCTAACAGCAGACATCACGGGTGATTCATTTTTACCTGGAAAGGAAAAAGAAGGGAATTCTCAGGGAGATTTCTCTTCCCTGGATGTAAATTGTTATTCATCGTATTTATGGTTGGGCCTGGCTTTGTGGGGGTATCTATTTTTTTCATTAGTCTTTTTGGTAGCCGGTTAGCTGTGCCTTCTGTGGTATCAGACAGGCATATCAATCCTCGGCCTCATAAGGGAACTGGGTCTTGCCCATTCCCGTTAAGGGTAAGAGGGTCCTTCCCCATATCTGTGGCAAAGTTTTGTTGGTCTCGGTGTTGCCAGAGGCAGTCAGCAGCAGATTTGCCATGAGCTTTCAGCTTTAGAGAGATAAAAGTAAACAAGGCATGATGGAGAGTATTTAGGGGGACTCCTTGTGAGGGGGTACCATTCCCCCTCTTTTGTTTTTAAAGCCAATTTTTCAGAGTTCTTGTAAAATCAGGGCAGAAGCGCCAACAGTTGCTCCTTCCACACTCAGAGAGTCATGAAGACCCTATTTAATGATATATAAATCTATATTAATAATCTTTTGTCAAAGGACTGTTATAGTACCGCCGACAACTAATCAGACTATATAATATATCAATTAGTAATAGCTTCTACTTTTTGTGAGATTACCTCTCTTTTGTCAATTAATTGTTGAGGAAAATTAGGATTTACCTCTCTCTTGAGAATATTGAACAGAGACTTAAATTCTTTTGTGGAAAGCTTAAAATAGGATCTTAGCCAATTAGCAACTCCTAGAAACTTTTGAAAATAATTTAAAATAAGTAAACTCTCTCCCTCTCTTTCTTTTTTTTTTAGATCCTTTATCTGTGTGGTTTTTTTTATTGGATATTATACATATTTACCTTTCAATGTTATCTCTTCTCCCATTCTTCCCCCAAAGCCCTTATCCCATACCCCCTACTCCTAATTTTTGTGAGGTTGTGCTCCAAACATCCTCCCAGTCCCATCTCCCTGCTCTCGAATTCCCACACAGTAGGGGACCCAAACTTTTGGGGACCATGGCCCTCCACTTTCACTGAAGTTTAACAAGGTCACCCTCAATTCCCTATACAGGTGCATGAGTCCCTCCCTTTCTGCTCTCTGGCTGGTGTTTAGACTTTGGGAGCTCTAGTTGAAACTTTTGATACTCCTTCTAGAAAGGACCAAAGCATCCACACTTTGGTCTTCCTTCTTCTGTGTGAGTTTTATGTGCTCTATACGTAGTTTCTTAGAAATTGTGAGCTTTTGGGCTAATATCCACTTATCAGTGAGTGCATACCATGTATGTTCTTTTGAGATTGGGTGACCTCACTGAAGATGATATTTTCCAGCTCCATCATTTGCCTAAGAATTTCATGAACTCATTGTTTTTAATAGCTGAGTAGTACTCCATTGTATAAATGTACCACATTTTCGGCATCCATTCTTCTGTTGAAGGGCATCTGGGTTCTTTCCAACTTCTGGCTATTATAAATAAGGCTGCTATGAACATGGTGGAGCATGTGTCCCTGTTGTATGTTGAAACGTCTTTTGGGTATATGCCCAGGAGTGGTATAGCTGGGTCCCCAGGTAACACTATGTTCAATTTTCTGAGATACCGCCAGACTGCTTTCCATAGTGGTTGTACCAGTCTACAATCCCACCAACAGTGGAGGAGTGTACCTCTTTTTCCACATCCTCGCCAACATGTGCTGTCACCTGTGTTTTTGATCTTAGCCATTCTGACTGGAGTGAGGTGGAATCTCAGTGTTGTTTTCATTTGCATTTCCCTGATGACTAGGGATGCTGAACACTTCTTTAGGTGCTTCTCAACCATTCGAGCTTCCTCGGTTGAGAATTCTTTGTTCAGCTCTGGGCTCCATTTTTAAATAGGGTTCTTTGATTGTCTAGAGCCTAATTTCTTCAGTTCTTTGTATACCTTGGATATTAGCCCTTTTTCAGATGTAGGGTTGGTGAAGATCTTTTCCCAGTCTGTTGGTTGCCGCTTTGTCCTATTGACTGTGTCCTTTGCTTTACAGAAGCTTTGCAGTTTTATGAGGTCCCATTTGTCAGTTCTTGGTCTTAGAGCACAGGCCATTGGTGTTCTGTTCAGGAACTTTTCTCCTCTGCCTATGTGTTCCAGGCTTTTCCCCAGTTTCGCTTCTGTTAGTTTGAGTGTGGCTGGTTTTAGGTGGAGGTCCTTGATCCACTTGGAATTGAGCTTTGTACAAGGAGATAAGTATGGATCAATTTGCATTTTCTACATGCTGACTTCCAGTTGGACCAGCACCATTTGTTGAAAATGCTGTCTGTTTTCCACTTGATGGTTTTAGCTCCTTTGTCAAAGATCAAGTGACCATAGGTATGGGGGTTCATTTCTGGGTCTTCTATTCTATTCCATTGATCCTCCCTCTTGTCTCTGTTCCAATACCATGCAGTTTTTATCACTATTGCTTTGTAGTACAGCTTGAAGTCAGGGATGGTGATTCCCCCAGAAGTTCTTTTATTGCTGAGAGTAGGTTTTGCAATCCTGGGTTTTTTGTTATTCCAAATGAATTTTAAGATTGCTCTTTCTGCTCTTCCTCTTCTCTTCGATTGCCATCTTCCCCGCTCCTTTCTCCTACTCTCCTCCCTAAATAAACCCCTCCCTGTGGAACCGGAAAAAAAAAAAAGATTGCTCTTTCTATCTCTGTGAAGAATTGAGTGGGAATTTTGATGGGGATTGCATTAAATCTGTAGATGGCTTTTGGCAAAATAGCCATTTTTACTATATTAATCCTTCCAATCCATGAGCATGGG